TTTACGTGGTTCGTTTCTCAATGTGAGAAACTACGTCCACGGCCGCCGCATGAGAATAATTCACTATTTTTCGTCTCTTTACATCATGCCCTAATCAACCCTTTTATAGACTTAAGAGTTTAACAAGTAAACAAGGAAACAGATCAAAACAGGTTAAAAACCGAATCTGGGCCAAAACCCGACTCCGGTCGACCGCCGCACCACGTGCGGTCGACCGCGACGAATCCTATTCCTGATCGAGCTCTCTGGACTTTGGGCGGTCGACCGCAGCGCCATGTGCGGTCGACCGCGACGAAGACAAAACTCTGGACTGCTCTCTGGACTTTGAGCGGCCGACCGCAGCGCCACATGCGGTCGACCGCAATGAGCTCCTGGCATGTGCACCCAGCTGTGCACGACGTCGGTTGACCGCCGCGCCATGGCCGGTCGATCGCGATGCAGAAAACTGTCTCCTTCGGCGTTTTGCTTGAACTTCTCCATCGTCGATCATGTTCCTCCTGTTCCAACTTTCTTCCTCCTCTCTTCTGAAGTATATGGCATGCTTGATAGTTAGGCTTCACATATCCTAACAATCTCCCACTTGGAGACTATCAATCTCTTTCAGCTCTCTCTGCGGCGACGGCCTCCATATCATCAAGTGCTGAAGCCAACTGAAGTTGAACACAACTTCAGTTTCTCTGTAGTGACAACCTTGGTAAGCATATCAGCTGGGTTCTTGCTTCCTTGAATCTTCACAAGTTCCAACATGTCCTCGTCCAACGCTGATCTTATGAAGTGGTAGCGGACCTGTATGTGTTTGGTCCTTGCATGAAAAGCGGGATTCTTTGCCAAATGAATTGCGCTCTGGCTATCACAATGTAGGACACTCTTCTCATTCTTCTGTCCCAGCTCCTCCAAGAAACCCTGCAACCATATCATCTCCTTGCTTGCCTCTGTCACAGCAACATATTCAGCCTCTGTCGTTGATAAAGCAACGATCTTCTGCAATTGAGAAATCCAACTAATAGCTGTAGAGCCCAAAGTGAATACGTATCCTGTAGTGCTTTTTCTCTGGTCTATCTCACCAGCATAGTCTGCATCAACAAAACCCTGTAGGACTAACTTGCCTCTCCTGAAGCATAAGCAATCTTCTATAGTACCTCGCAGGTATCTCAGAATCCACTTTACTGCTTCCCAGTGCTGCTCTCCTGGATCTGACATAAATCTGCTCACAGCTCCCACTGCATGGGCAATGTCGGGTCTCGTGCATACCATGGCGTATATAAGGCTTCCAATGGCTGAAGCATATGGAACCTTAGCCATGTATTCATTCTCTTCATCAGTCTCGGGGCACTGCTCCTTAGTCAATCTGAAATGACTAGCTAACGGTGTGCTAACGGCCTTAGCACCACTCATCCCGAATCTCTCAAGCACCCGTCGAATATACTCGGCCTGAGATAGCCGCAGTATCCCCAAGAGTTTATCTCTACTGATCTTCATTCCCAATATCTGCTTCGCTGCACCTAGATCCTTCATGTCGAACTCACTCGATAGCTGTTTCTTCAGTTTCTTGATCTCTGTCATATCTGAGCCGGCTACTAGCATATCGTCGACATATAGGAGTAGGATGATGTAACTCTTGTCAAACTCTTTGACAAAACAGCAATGATCAGCATTAACTTTTTGTACCATTGCCTTGGAGCTTGTTTTAGGCCGTACAAGCTCTTCTTCAATCTGCATACCATCTTCTCTTTTCCCTTCTGAGTAAACCCCTCTGGCTGCTGCATATATATCTCTTCCTCTAGATCACCGTGGAGGAAAGCTGTCTTTACATCTAGCTGCTCGAGATGTAGATCTTCAGCTGCAACAATACTCAGGACTGTTCTGATGGTAGTTAGTTTGACTACTGGAGAGAAGATCTCTGTGTAATCAACTCCTTCTCTCTGTTGAAATTCTTTAACCACCAACCTGGCCTTGTATCTCTTGGAACCATCATGTTCCTCTTTGATTCTGTACACCCATTTATTGCTCAAGGCCTTTTTCCCCGTTGGTAGCTTCGCAAGTTCCCATGTCTTGTTGGTGTTCAAGGATTTTATTTCATCTTTCATGGCGAGCTCCCACTTGCTCGCATCATCCACTCGGAGGGCCTCATCATAACTTTCTGGCTCTCCACCATCACTCAACAATAGGTAGTTGAGATGAGCTCTGGGCTGTAGTGATGGATACTTACTCTAGCTGACCGCCTCAACTCTCTAACGGGCGAAACAGGCTCTTCATCTTCATCTGCCCCCTCTGAAGTAGTCTCATCCATCAACTCTTCTTCTTCATCAGAACTAGCTTCGGGATTGCCTCCATCTGAGGCATCATCTGACTCGAAGTATGTGGGATCACGCTGTGTCGTACTAGTGGACTGAACGACATCACGGTCTTTGTAGAGGATTGATTCGTTAAAGACCACATCCCTGCTTCTGATGATTTTCTTGTTCTGCTCGTCCCAGAACTTGTAGCCAAACTCATCGCCGCCATAGCCAACAAAGAAACATTTTAAGGACTTAGGATCGAGTTTGCTTCTAACATGATCACTCAGATGTACATATGAAATACATCCAAATACTCTCAGGTAAGAGAGATTTACCTGCTTTTCACTCCATACTTCTTCAGGTATTTTGTGCTCCAAAGGTACTGATGGTCCCCGGTTGATCAAATAGGCAGCTCTGTTGACTGCTTCTGCCCAGAATTGCTTTGGAAAACCTGCTTGTAACCGCATACTTCTGGCTCTCTCAGTCAATGTTCTGTTCATGCGTTCTGCTACGTCATTCTGCTGGGGTGTACCTGGTACTGTTCTCTCTAATCTAATGCCGCTATCATAACAGAACTTCTTGAACTCCGAGTCTTCATACTCGCCGCCGTTGTCAGAACGAAGCTTCTTGATCTTCAAACCGGTCTCGTTCTCAACCATAGCCTTCCATCGCTTGAAGACTTCAAACACTTCTGATTTGTGTTTCATGAAATAGACCCAAGTCTTCCTCGAGTGATCATCTATGAAGGTCACAAAGTATAACCTTCCGCCGGTGGATGGAACTGATGCTGGACCCCACACATCTGTGTGAACTAACTCAAGCTTCTCTTCTTTAGGGGTTCTGCCAACCCTTTTGAAGCTTATTCTCTTTTGTTTCCCTAGAATGCAGCTTTCACATAGGTCAATATCAGCCGATCTCAAACCTGGTAACTTCCCGTTCGATTGCATAACCTTTAGGCCTTTGCTACTCATGTGACCTAACCTCTGGTGCCACAAATTTGGGTCTTCACTGCCTTCAGCCACTGCAATGGAGCCTCGTGCATCTATCGTCATGTAGAGAGATCCCGTCTTCGTACCACGGGCAACAACCATGGATCCCTTTGTAACCTTCCATGTATCACATGCAAAGGTTGATACGTATCCCTCTTTCGCCAATTGTCCTATGGAAATCAGATTTTTCCCCAAGCTAGGAACATGTCTCACATCACTCAGCTTCCATGTAGACCCATTGAGCTTGATTTGCACGACTCCTTTGCCAACAATATCACAAGGCTGATCATCACCAAGATAGACCTTTCCTAGGTTTCCTGAAACGTAGTTCTCCAATAAATCTCTATTTGATGTAGCATGAAACGAAGCTCCTGAATCTAGCACCCACGATTCAGTTTTGCTTTCCAACGAACAGATTAGGGCATCATCTGATTCTCCTGAGGCCACGTTCGCTTCAGTCTTGTTCTCCTTGTCTTTCTTGGGTTCTCGGCACTGATTTTCATAGTGGCCAAACTTGCCACAATTCCAGCAGTCAATTTCCTTCTTGCCCAAACGGTTCCTGGACTTTGGCCTTCCGTTCCTCGAGTTAGATCTTCCTCGGCTATTCCCTCTATTTCTGTTTCTGTTTCTTCCTCTGCCCTCAAGGTTCAACGCCGACCCTGAATTAGAAATCCCTTCCTCTTGTCTTCTTATTTCCTCAGTCATAATCATGTCCACCACCTCTGAAAACTTCAGCTTTGATTTGCCACATGATCCGCTGATCGAGATAACGGTACCCTTCCAACTGTCGGGCAATTGACCAAGTATCAAGAGGGCTTGGATTTCATCGTCAAACTGAATATTGACCGAGTTTAGTTGATCTGTGATCTCGTTAAACTCGTTCAGGTGTTCCTTGAATTTCTGGCTCTCGGACATCCTCAAATTAAATAGCTTTTTAATGAGATGTACCCTATTCGCCGCAGAGGGCTGCTCATACATACTGGACAACGCCGCCATGAGATCCACCGTCGTATTCTGATTATTGATGTTGAACGCTACTGATTTAGACAATGTCAACCTGATCGTTCCAAGGGCCTTTCGATCCAATAGCTTCCAATCCGCATCTTTCATATCCGTCGGCTTCTCTCCCAATGGTAGGTATAAATCCTTCTGATAGAGGTAGTCCTCCATCTGCATCTTCCAGAACCCGAAGTTTGTTCCATCAAACTTCTCAATCTTGGATGTTTCCTTCTCAGATCCCATTGTCTCTGACCTCAAATCGCTCGCGCCGAACCTGGTCGCTCTGATACCACTTGTTGGGGATGCTCAACCCCCTCTGATGCGATTTGAAATAGAGATTTAGGAGAGAAGAGAGAAAATCAAACAATCTCAAACACACAAGATTTACGTGGTTCGTTTCTCAATGTGAGAAACTACGTCCACGGCCACCGCAGGAGAATAATTCACTATTTTTCGTCTCTTTACATCATGCCCTAATCAACCCTTTTATAGACTTAAGGGTTTAACAAGTAAACAAGGAAACAGATCAAAACAGGTTAAAAACCGAATCTGGGCCAAAACCCGACTCCGGTCGACCGCCGCACCACGTGCGGTCGACCGCGACGAATCCTTTTCCTGATCGAGCTCTCTGGACTTTGGGCGGTCGACCGCAGCGCCATGTGCGGTCGACCGCGATGCTGTATGCTCGGTCGACCGCGATGAGCTCCTGGCCTGTGCACCCAGCTGTGCACGACGTCGGTCGACCGCCGCGCCATGGCCGGTCGACCGCGATGCAGAAAACTGTCTCCTTCGTCGTTTTGCTTGAACTTCTCCATCGTCGATCATGTTCCTCCTGTTCCAACTTTGTTCCTCCTCTCTTCTGAAGTATAGGGCATGCTTGATAGTTAGGCTTCACATATCCTAACATTTGCCTCACCATCAAACATCCATTCACTCCCCAAGTATACCTGTGAGATGTTTGAGATTCAGAAGACCTTATCCGTCTATCTCGTGAGTTTTTATTTCTGCTGCTAAAATGATTGCTTAATCTGAGCATGTAAATTTGTGGACTAACTTGGAACAAAATAGATTATTTTTTTCTCTTCTTTTGAGGCGAATGGGCAAGAAACAGGGAATAATTAGGCTCTGGTCTTCCTAGGATCAACTCATGAAGTTAAGGATCAATTTGATAATCCGGCTATCGTCGTAACATAGATTAATTGTTGTTGTGCACTCATTTTTATCAAGATTACATAGCCTATATGATTCATATCTGACAAATTTGCACTCGGTAGTACAAGGATTACGCAACTTATGGGATTCATATGATCGTTAATCTTCTCTTGATATATTTTCTTTTGCAAATAGGAGATTGTTTTGTGGTGCATTTCTTGATGACCTTAAATTCTTGAACTTTTTGTCTCTTTTCTTCAATCTTCTTATACCCGTCTTTCTTTCTACCTGAGTACTCTATTTATCCTACATATCTTGCTTGTGACTTTTCTGAGTCTAGTGACTGCCTTTCAGTTTGTTCTCCTATTATTCTTTTTTTTTCTCGATTTTATATACATAAATTTGTCTTTATATTCTCCAGCTGTAGTTTCTTTGGTGTTATACATATTTTCTGCCGGAACTGACTATTTCTTGTCGTCGAGTGCTATGCTAAAGCCCAAAGGATGCAAGGAATATGTAATGTGGAGCACGTCTTTTGTAAGTGATTCAACTATGCACATGTCAATGAATTATCCTAAACTTTCTGATACTTCCTCCTCAAGTTTGCTAAGTGTTCCTTTAAACATGGTTCATATTATGATTATGTCAGACCTTTCTTTTTTGTTATTCAGGATGTTATCTGATCGGCTAAAGTTTACACCTAAAACGCTCTATCCTGTGCTATTTGCTAGTGATCATATCTGTTTAGATGCCTCAGTTTCTGCTGAACTGGCGTTTTACTCCGCGTCACGACTTTGACATATTAGTGATGATGAGCTTAGTTATGGATTTCAAATTGGTCATGGCTGCTTGGATCTTCATCGGCATTGTGGCTTTGATCTTCATCAGCATTGCCACCTCGACAACCATGATAGTGCAACCGGCAGATGGAGGGGTGCACGATAATCAACCGACACTGGTTAATACTAGTATTCTACGGGTTATCCAATCCTTTTGGTAAGCCGGACGATTACCTGTTAAGCAAATTTTGTCCAATAATCTTTAAGCATTTGCACAATTTTCCTTGTTTAGTTATTCAAGCTTTTCCTCATTACACTCATTTAATGAAATTACAATATATGTTCACTAATTAGTTTACTTCTTTTGTATAACACCAAGTATTTGAAAACAAGTACATAGTATAAGTAATCAAGTATTCTTAATCTCCTCATATGCTACCCAGCTTAGTATGTATAGACTTACATTTAAAATAAATTAATTCAAAAAGATTTCTAAGGTTTATATAGCGCCGTAAGTGTTAGTGCCTTGTTTTCGAGCTTCAGAGCGTGCTATTATGTTGCGAGCTGCGGTGCGCTCCTTCTCTTTAGTATTTTGTGGCTTTTGAATTCATTCTTCTCAAAAGAACCGGTAGGTAGGTAAAGGCGAAATCTTTCTTGACCCTTGTTTACTAACCGGGCCTGGAGTTTGTAATTGCTTATATGAAGAAAAGATGGTCTCGTCAGGATGAAAACCAAGCAGGTAACGTAAAGTACGTTCGGACGGAAGAAGCGAGGATTCAATATTTATTTCAAAAACATACACTAACACACAGTACTAATAAGTCTTATATGAAAGCTATATATATATATATGATATGCATTAGTATTAAGTCTTACATGAAAACTTTCTGTTCTAGAAAACTAAGATTTGAAATTGAACTTAATTATAAAACAAAGCATAAATATATAGTCATTATTGTAATCATTATTAATAATTACTAAACTTAGTCCAAAATATAATGTTTTAGATCAGCAAAAGTAGGATCCCTTTTGTTCTCCATTAGTTTTCTTTTCTCTGCCTCCTTTCAGTCTCTTCCTTTTAGTACCTCGAAACAAAGTAATATTACCATTCTGTTAATGACTGTATGTCTATGATAATGAACAATTGGTATAAATCAATAAATAAGTATCTTCTATACCCTTATGAATTTTTCTTTGATCCCATTAACTCCATTGACATTGTCTTATAGGTTTTTGATCTTCAGGGGACTATTTTGAATGTTTTTTCCACCTTTGGCATCAGAAGTGTAACTAATACAGGTTTGAAGACTTCCCCTCATATTAGATGTCAATGTATTTTTGAGGTGGTAAATCTTCAATCGGACTAATTACAAAAACTTCTTGCATTCTTTATCAATATGAGAAAAAAAATACACTATTTGAATGATAACCAATCAGAATTGTGTGTGTCTAAATAATGTCCTTAAAAAATTAAAAAGCAAACAATCTTTACTGATAAACCCAAATATATCAAGATAACTATCGTATTCATTAGTGTTTCAAATACATAGTTTTCTTTTTATCATTGTAATTAAGTATGTATTTGAAACAAAATTTGCTTAACAGGTAATCGTCCAGCTTACCAAAAGGATTGGATAACTCGTAGTATACTAGTACTAACCAGTGTCGGTTGATTATCGTGCACCACTCCATCTGTCGGTTGCACTATCATGATTGTCGAGGTGACAATGGTGATGAAGATCAAAGCCACAATGCCGATGAAGATCCAAGCGGCCATGACCAATTTGAAATCCATAACTGAGCTCATCATCACTGTATGGTCTTCTTGTTTCTTTCTTCCTTTCTTCTTCTTCTCCTTCTTTTTTTTTTGGTTTTTTTTTGCTCGGGTGGTAGGGAGTGTGTGTTGAGTATTTTATATTTTGGGTTTTGCTATTGTCAGTGTGGAGTGCTGCATGTGCGTAATTAACCATGCACTTAATACATGCTCATATTTAGACCTAGAGATTAATTTGGTGGACACTTGTTTTACAAAGTTATGAAGACAGAGTCTATAAGAAGTTATGAACTCAACAAAACAGGATGGAGAAGATTGATAACATCTGTAAATAATACAAGGCAACAAAAAATTAACCATACCACTTAATGCATGATTTAAGGCAACAAAAAATGATGACAGCTTGTTACTACGTGAAGGGAATACTCGTGGTATCGCCAACTTAATTTTAAACATTCCATAATAGGTCAAGCTTATTCATGAAGTAATTTGTCTGTTTTGCTATGGTTAATGGTCCTTGTTCCATCTTAAATGTTGCAGCCTTTTAAATTTTAAAAATAACTTTTATATGAAAAAAAACTCTTGAACGAGAAGGCGGTTAGAATATTTGATGATACACCTCAAAACATGATAAGAATGATAAGTATCTATCCTATTTCACAGCCCACATGTGTACACTACAGAACCCATTATATTTGAAGCGAACAAATATCCGATTTTTATTATTGACACCCTAGAGCACGCAAGGAGCTTACCCCGTCGACAGATGTTATTATCAAAGCCCCATTATACATCAACAAAGGCCATACGGAGGCTAAACATAATATCCAGTTGTTTGGTTATGAGCCCACCCAGCGAACAGATATTTATCAGTATCCAAATTTAAGGATTAACGGTTATATTTTTTACATCAAAACTCTAAAGCCATGATCGGTGTTGAGGGTTATATTTTTTATATGCTAACACACACATGATATATCAGAGATGAACTAGCTTTGTGCTTTCACATTCTATATGCAAAGTATTTTTCATTAATTTCTTGATGCAGTAGAATACTCTGTGCCTTGAGATAGGCAGATGATATCAAGTACTTTGTGCCTTTTTTTAAGGTAGATGGTATATTGTAATGTTTATCCTTTGGATGCTCTCCTATTATTATTTCTTTGTTAGATGAGTTTATTTTAAAGTTTCTAATTGTGATAGTCTCCCATACTGGATGCAGAAATTTATGAGAATTATTCAAGATTGATGCTGCAGACTACATGATATCCATTTGTGGAAATGTGGCTTTAAGAGAGCTTTCTTCCCCTGGGAAGAGTGGAAGCGTTTTTTTTCTTTCGCAAGATGACCGGTTCATGATTAAAACCCTCCGTAAATCTGAAGTGAAGGTAGTTTGTCTCTCTAAGTTTGCAAGATGACCGGTTCATGATTAAAACCCTCCGTAAATCTGAAGTGAAGGTAGTTTGTCTCTCTAAGTTTGATATATTTATATGCTGAGTTCAGTCAGAAGTGAAGGTAGTTTGTCTCTCTAAGTTTGATATATTTATATGCTGAGTTCAGTCAATTGTGAATATGGTAATTTTTGTGTTAGTCTAATGCTAGCCATGACAGACAAGCATCTAATATTGGTTGGCCTACTTCGAGTGTAATTTTCCTAAGTATTGTTCAGTCAAAATAATTATCCTTGAAATTTCTATGATACTATAGTCTAGATGGATTATATAGGGATTGCTGCCAACGTCCCTGCCAACAATTGGTAAAGGATACTTCAAAGTGCCATGTATATCACAGTGAAACTAAAACCAGCTGAAAGCAAAGAAGTATAGGAGCTCCAAGGCGCCATGTAGAGCTTGCAGTACAAAAGACACTCCTAGAACTATAATAATATATATTTTTTGTGCTTCTATCCTTAACAAGGCCCATAAACTTTGATTAATTTTTTGTTTCTGCACATTTCATAGCCAATCAATTCATTTCTCTAAACAGTATATGGCTCAAAGCATGCTCATGATTTTATTGATCAATTTTTTTTAATTAGCAGCCATCAGAGTGTAACTTAGTTTAAAAATGTAGGTGCTACTGCGGATGCTTCCAAACTATCACCATCATGTGCACACATATGAGAACACACTTATAACTAAATTCTTTGGTTTGCAAAGAGTGATACCCTCTAGTGGTCAAAAGGTAATGCCCAGTTGTTTTTCTGTTCAATATATCCTTAATTCAATTATTCTGTGCACTTGTTTATAATTTGTTCTACTTGTTCTGGGGCTTTTATATAATATGATAAATCAGATCTTATGAATTCTCCATTGTTCGGGTTCGTCGTAATGGGAAACATGTTTTGTACAGAACTGAGGATCCATATAAGGTTTGACTTGAAAGGGTCATCACTGGGCTTTCTTCAAAAAATGCTGAAATAGATGAGAATACAACTCTCAAAGATTTGGATCTAGACTATTCTTTATATTTGGAACCTTCTCGGAGAGATGCTCTTTTGAAGTAAGAGAGTGTTTTACATGGCTATTTTTATTCTTTTCCATTCATGCTAGTGTTGATTTGCCAGATTTTATCCAGGTTGCACCAAAAGTACTCACTCTCTTCTTTATCCTAAAGAGTGATGCCTATTGACTCAGTACATTGGGTTTAACCAGAAAATTTTATGGATATTCTGGTAATTGTATTCAATTGTTTGTCTGTAGTAAAGTTATAATTCACTTTTGCATTATTAACTATACTGCTTATTTTCATATAAGTAATGGAAACCAATGGGTAGCTTTTCAATTATATATGCTTGACATTTCTGGACGTATTCTCTGCATAGATGTGCTAGGAGTGTCTGACTGGCGTTGAAATGTAATTTTTTATGTTTTCTACTCAAGAGATGAGAATTGATTAGAATTTCAATCCTCTTGTCCGTCCTCGAATGAGAACTTCCATGGAGGTATTCGTCCTAAAGACGCTTATACTTTAGCATGCTTAACTCTATAGATTAACCACTGTTCCTTCATAAAAAAAGTACTAGTTATGGTAGATTTGTTTTTGAGTTGTACCCAAGTTTTTGACCTTTTATGGTGTGCTTGTTCCTTATGAAATGGTGTTGCTTTTCTTCAGTTAGTCATAGTTAGCAAATGTGTGACATGTTTCATTTTATCGTGCCTGATTGTCTATATCTTGTAGCACTTCACTTAATGACTATTTCAAATATCTCCTACAGGCAGATTGAGATTGATAGTAAATTCTTGGAAACACAGCATATAATGGACTATAGCCTATTGTTAGGTGTGCATTATCGAGCTCCACAACATCTGCGAACTGGTGTATATATCTCTCCATCGAAGCCTGACAGCAGAGGGACTTTCAATCCTTTCAGAAGGTGATCAATACGTCCTTCTAATAACCGTCTTGCATCTTTCCTCGTGAGCATGAATTATATCAGGCGATTTCTTGCCTCTAAAAGCTCGGAAAGCATGCTGAATTGATCGCTTGTCTGACCTTGAGATGCAAACTTTTCAGCAGATTTTTCTATATAAGAACCCCAATTTGTTGTAGCATCAAGTGTTTCAGGAATTATATAGCTCATTTGCGGTACATATTCTGAATAGCATCGTGTACTATCTGATAAGTTACACAAATAAGAAGGAAAAAAAGCATTGAGAAGAAAAATATGCATGGTCGTACACTTCTCCAATAATCATTCAGCGTTTGCAAAATAATAGCGTACTTTTCGTGGTAGTCAACTAAAAAACAGGAGATAACATGCGAGGATGGTAACTCACTACTCAGAAGCATGCATCAATGGGTAAATGAGTTGTATTGTTATCATATGAACAAAAAAGTGTCTAGAATTGAATACAGTGCTATAATCTCGGAATCAAATCCTGGTAAATTAAGTGTGTGGAATCTATTTTCCGAACTATAAATTATGTCCAGTGAGCACTTAGTCAGCTGTTTTAAAATGTATTACGGTAAGAAGTTATCCAAGTTTAGGAGGCCAACTGAACATTTAAAGTACTAATTTCACCTTGTGTTTGATGGAACTATCTATTTCACCTTGCTTTTTCCAACATTTCTCTTGGCGAACTTGATCTTTTGTTTATTCTTTAGACATCCTGTGGCAAGGCTATTAATGTAACAAATCTGCCCTGCCAGTGAAATAAACTACTAGTAACCTAATTTCTAAAAAACTTAGTGGGGGCACCAAAAAGTTTGAAGGACGCTTTACTTTCCAACAGAAATGTGAGGGGTATACTGGTAATTTTGCGGTTGGTATAAAGAAACGATTGTCCACTATATATATATATAACATGGATCTAATGTGACTCCCTAGGCTACATCTAAGGATGCGCGATCTGGGCCGTTGGTTCAAAAACCGCAAAATACATCTGGGCCGTCCGTTCAAAAACACTCCCAAAAAATAACCCTACCCATTTCTCAGCTCCCCTTCTCAGATCTTGCCAGCAGCCCCTCCCCCCTCCTCTCCACCGCCCGAAATCACCACCGCCGGAGCTCAGCCTCGCCGTCGGCTCCTCGCCCTCGCCCTCGCCCTCGCCATCCCCCTCCACCAAATCGCCGACTCCGGAGCTCGCCGCCCTCAACATCCCCTCGACCTCGCCATCCCCTCGCCCCCGCTCAACCTTGCCCTCGCCATCAGTCTCTCCATCACCTTCGTCATCAGCTACACCGTCGGATCCTCGCCCTCGCCGCCGACGACATTCAAGCTCAGCCCTCAGATCCATCACCGCCGCCGGAGCTCGCTTCAACCTCTTCATCAGCCCTCATGGCTTTGAACAAATTGAAAGCATCGACGTCTCCGATTTCTTCAAAATCAAAGTCTTCATCGTCTAAATGCAATAATCATCCATCTTCGTCAGTAAATTTTTTGATGAGATATAATGTTTGTGTTAATATGCGTCGAAAGTTGAAATTGCAGCCTCCGCCTACTGATGTCTGTGTCAACAAGTCATTGCTTGGGAGGGATGAAAGAATAGGCAAACTACAAGCTTTCCATACTCGAATAGTTGATCAATGAAGTCTAATAGTTGTTGTCTTATCATGATCCTACTGTTGGTGACATAATCTGGTTCATCATTCAGCTCTTAAATATCTCAAACTCAAAACTCAACCATTTAAAATTTTGGTTATGAGAATTATTTCTTGTTGCTTAATTCTAAATCATGATTAAAAAGGAAAAGTTGATGATCGTATCAAGCTGACTCATGCCCCGGCCAACCTATACATATACAGGGTTGCAGTCCTTGTTGCACATCATACCAACGATTTTCTTTATTACTACCACTACAATCGAAGACGTCGATCAATATCCTGTTGCATGTGTTTCTCCCCTTCCCCAAATTTGTTATGTATTATATAGTTGTCTTTAGACCGGATAGTAGAGTTGGTCACAATGTTTGTTTAGATATAGAAACCCCATATGAAACAGTGGCAGCCCAATGAGTGGGATGATGATTTTTTATAAGAGTGCCCCTGTCATATGCGGGGGTGTTCTAAGCCACGAGGTATAATGTTAGTGTTAATAAACTTGTAAATTTTATTATGATTATTGTCATATCGAGTATATATTTTAGGTATATTGTTTGTGTTAATATGCGTCTTAATTTGCCCAAATATATTTAATTTTTAACTCTTTCTGAATTATAATTCCCTTACAGGGCTATGATAACACAACTGAGAATTTTTTCCAATTTGTGTTATTTTTGAGATTTAATTGAGAAGCGTATAGTATTGGATGAAAGACACATAAAAGCCCTTGAGACGACACCTTTTCACAACTTTCTCAAGATACCAACATCCTTGAGCAAGGAGAAAATAGCAATTGAATGCTTGATTCAAAATTTTAATTCCGGTAAATGCTCATTTATGATTGGGAATAAAAATTGTGTGTTTGGGATAGATGATATTCACTGAATTACTGATTTGCCAAAGGAGGGAATTCCGATAAAAATGAGTGGGATAGCGGTAATACAATCTACACCCAATTTGTAAAGAATAATAAGACACTCAAGAAGAAGAAGAGTAGTAGCTCTAAAGGCAAGAAGAAAGCCGATGAGGAAAAGAAGGCGGTGATTTGGGGGAAGCACGATAGAATTGCCCTGATGATTGTAGATATGAATAATAAAGACCTTATAATATGTGTGAAACTTATTGTCCTCCATATATATATAACATGGATCTAAGAAGACTCTGCTACATCTAAGGATGTGCGATCTGGGCTGTTGGTTCAAAAACCCCAAAATACATTTGAGCCGTCCGTTCAAAAACACTCCCAAAAAATAACCCTACCCATTTTCTCATCTCCCCTGCTCAGATCTTTCCAGCCCCTCCCCCCTCCTCTCCACCGCCCGAAATCGCCACCGCCGACCCTCGCCCTCGAAATCCCCTCGACAACGCCATCACCTCCCCCTCCTCCTCTCCACCAAATCGCCGACTCCGGAGCTCGCCGCCCTCAACATCCCCTCGACCTCGCCATCCCCTCGCCCCCGCTCAACCTTGCCCTCGCCATCAGTCTCTCCATCACCTTCGTCATCAGCTACACCGTCGGATCCTCGCCCTCGCCGCCGACGACATTCGAGCTCAGCCCTTAGATCCATCACCGCCGTCGGAGCTCGCTTCGACCTCTTCATCAGCCCTCATGGCTTCGAACAAATTGAAAGCATCGACGTCTTCGATTTCTTCAAAATCAAAGTCTTCATCGTCTAAATGCAATAATCCTCCAACTTCGTCAGTAAATTTTTTAATGAGGTATAATGTTTGTATTAATATGCGTCAAAAGTTAAAATTGCTGTCTCCGCCTACTGATGTCCGTGTCAACAAGTCATTGCTTGGGAGGGATGAAAGAATAGGCAAACTACTAGTTGTCCATACTCGAATAGTTGATCAATGAAGTCTAATAGTTGTTGTCTTATCATGATCCTACTGTTGGTGACATAATCTGGTTCATTATTCAACTCTTAAATATCTCAAACTCAAAACTCAACCATTTAAAATTTTGGTTATGAGAATTATTTCATGTTGCTTAATTCTAAATCATGATTAAAAAGGAAAAGTTGATGATCGTATCAAGCTGACTCATGCCCCGGCCAACCTATACATATACAGGGTTGCAGTCCTTGTTGCACATCATACCAACGATTTTCTTTATTACTACCACTACAATCGAAGACGTCGATCAATATCCTGTTGCATGTGTTTCTCCCCTTCCCCAAATTTGTTATGTATTATATAGTTGTCTTTAGACCGGATAGTAGAGTTGGTCACAATGTTTGTTTAGATATAGAAACCCCATATGAAACAGTGGCAGCCCAATGAGTGGGATGATGATTTTTTATAAGAGTGCCCCTGTCATATGCGGGGGTGTTCTAAGCTACGAGGTATAATGTTTGTGTTAATAAACTTGTAAATTTTATTGTGATTATTGTCATATCGAGTATCTATTTTAGGTATATTGTTTGTGTTAATATGCGTCTTAATTTGCCCAAATATATTTAATTTTTAACTCTTTCTGAGTTATAATTCTCTTGTAGGGCTATGATAACACAACTGAGAATTTTTTCCAATTTGTGTTATTTTCGAGATTTAATTGAGAAGCGTATAGTATTGGATGAAAGACACATAAAAGCCATTGAGACGACACCTTTTCACAACTTTCTCAAGATACCCACATCCTTGAGCAAGGAGCAAATAGCAATTGAATGTTTGATTCAAAATTTTAATTCCGGTAAATGCTCATTTATGATTGGGAATAAAAATTATGTGTTTGGTATAGATGATATTCACCGAATTACTGATTTGCCAAAGGAGGGAATTCCGATAAAAATGAGTGGGACATCGGCTAATACAATCTACACCCAATTTGTAAAGAATTATAAGACACTCAAGAAGAAGAAGAGTAGTAGCTCTAAAGGCAAGAAGAAAGCCGATGAGGAAAATAAGGCGGTGATTTGGGGGAAGCGCGATAGAATTTCCCAGATGATTGTAGATATGAATAATGAAGACCTTATAATATGTGTAAACTTATTGTGGCTTTTATTATCGGCTTCATATTATGTCCGCGGACATGTAAGACACATGTCACAAGACCTTGGCTTGTAGTAAGTATATCCGTGTTCTTTCATTAGTTGGTGGATTTTATTATTATGTTACCCTACAATGTTTTCATTGATGCATCCTTTATCAAGCATTTTTGGAAGGAAATATTGAAATGATGGCAAAACGAATGAAGGAAAATGTTTCTCAGCAGAAGTTCTTGGAGTGTGAAAGAATTCTGATCCCGATTGTCAGCTCCAGACATTGGCACATGGTAGAGTTAGTGAGAGAGGAGAAAATATTCTATTACTACTCCTCAATCAACTCCCCCATTTATACCGCAAATACTGTGAAATTTAGAAATAAGTTTATGAGTTTCATAGAGAGTAATTGAACATTGGGGAAATTGGAGCATCATGTTCTTATGTCAATTGCCGCTCCACAACAAGGACCGTAAGTTTTTCATGCATTTCTATGTAATTGTTCATTTTTGTTCTCAAAGTCATTTTCAATATCGTACTTTTTTTCCTAAATGCAGAACCTTAGATTCCGGGAT